CACTCATGAGTTGTTGTGAGAGGGTTGGAAGAGAGCCCACCTAAAGCAACCCGACAGATGGTGAACAGCGTTGAGCGGGGCAAAAGAGACTAAGTTGCCCGGAAAAAGGTCGGAACGACTGTAAGCTGCTATAGGGAGCGTGGGTGCGAGGGAGGGCACCCGAATAAGAAAGAGAGAAAGCCGGGGGATTCGAGGAAAGGAAGACCTGGAGGGCGGATCGAGAGAAGGGTGAAGAAGGCCACAGGCTGGAGATTTACCTGTTTAACTGGTGAGCCGCTCGTTCCGGCGATCGAGGGCAATAGGGGAACGAGTCACAGGGGCCGGACGACCTACCTGCTGTCGGAATACTGCCTGTTTTGTTGTACGAAGTAACGGGACTGCAGCTGCCTCCTTCAGGAAGGCTGTTGTTGGCTGTTGCAGGCTGTCGCGCTGGTTACGAGTACGACAACTGCTTGGAGCGGTAGGACTGCAGCTTCAGGTTCGGAAGTGACATTGTAGCATGAGGGAAGTGTTATTGGGACCACAGATTAAGGTGGCTGCAACAGTCTGGGGCTGAGAGTGCTGCGAGAAAGGCTATTACCAATGCTGTGTGTTCGAGGAGCCGCGCCGCACTGTGCAGTCTGGCTGCGATATCCGGTGTGGCTCTGCTGCTAGCCGAGCCGCAGGGTGCTCCAACTGTGTTTCTGTTTGCAACGGCGGTTGTACCTGTTACTGATTGCTGGAATTACTGAAGCAGCACTGTGCTGTCGAAGCACGCTGTGTCCTGCTGCAAAAGTGGTTGGGGTGTGCGCGGCCTTGTTATACCAGTCCTCTGCGCGCTTTGGGTTTTCTGTGAGTGCTCAACGGTGTGTTGGGCGACTGTTCAGATAAGGTATGGGGGAGAGTCAGTGAGACTTCAAGGGAGGCTGCTGCGTACTGCTGCTGGTCCCCATTGATTACTACAGGTTGCTTCAGGCTATCGTGTAGCTGCGATTGGGCTAGGAAGGAAGCTGCAGCGACAGTTCAGGGGAGGTGATTGGACTGATAGGAAGGTTGTTGCCGCAGCTTGGAGGAGTAGTGGCGACAGGGGGCTACTGGTGCAATTAAGAGTTCGTCAAGAGGATTGAATTCGACAGTTGGACTTTAGGGGGCCAAGTTGTCACACTTGGCCATCATTGCGGGGCCCTCAGGCGCTGAAGATATCAAGGCCCTCTCCTGCGAGTCTGAGTGCACCCCTCTTGTATCTGAGAGACTTAATGTTTCTTCTTCTACCCTCCTTACTCTAAGTCTAGTCTGTTGGTTCTGAGAGGAAGGCGGCAGGCGGGATTGCAACCCGTAGGTCCGCATCAAGGCTCTGTGGGGAGTCAACCCACCGATTGCGGGAGCTCTGCCGGAACTCAGGAGGAGTTATGGAGGCAAGGAATTCAGAGGTAATCCTTGCTTTCCCTTATAAACCCGGTTATAACCCCTATCTATACACCTCCCTATGTATTGGTTGAATGTATTGCATGCACCCCTACTTTGACTTTTGGGTTGACCTTCAGGATATAAATCAGACTAAGTAAAGGAATGTATGTACAGTTTCAATTCTTTGTTTGTCTGAAAGCAGATTGTCACACGGGGTTGCATCCGGGGGGAGGTTGGGAGGAAGGCAGTTTTGCTTGTGTCTGGATGAGTCTTATAGGGTCTGGCATAGTTTCTAAGATGAATGGCCTGAATTCTATGTTTTGTTCTGTTTTCCGAACGGCCAAGCATTGTTTCTAAGACGAATGGCTTGGTCGCTATGTTTATTTAATTGTGCCAGACATTATTTCTAAGATGAATGGCCTGGCTGCTTACTTTAAGGGGTATTGATTGCTTGAGTTTTGAGGACCAGACATTGTTTCTAAGACGAATGGTTTGGTAGTTGTTTACTTTGGGTGGTTTCTGAACAGTCTCTGGGTCTTGACCCAGAGTACTCTGCTTTTTTTGTGCTGAAAGAGGGGGGTTGAGCATTGTTTCTAAGACAAATGGCTCAACTCTCTTTGGTTGTTTCATTCTAAGGGAGGTTCGGGCCAAAGGACTAGACATTGTTTCTAAGACGAATGATCTAAGTCTGAGGCCACAGGACTATAATGAGAACAAAGGAATAAGATTCTCTATAATTCTATATATATATATATAAGAACAAGGCTAGCCAGACATTGTTTCTATAAGACGAATGGTCTGACTATAGCCTTATCACAAAGTAAGAGAGTATAATTAAGAGTTATAATTGAAGGTAACTTGGGCAGGCTGAGCATTGTTTCTTACGACGAATGGCTCAACCTGTTTCTAAGACGAATGGTTCAACCCTACGCTCACTTTCGAAGATTAAGTTCAGAAAAGTATATATAACTTGGCTATTTAAACAGTTCAGGACGACTAAGCATTGTTTCTAAGACGAATGACTTAGTCATATGCCCAATGAAGAGAACATTAGTTGTGCAACCTGTTTGTGTATAACTAAGGCAGAGAGTTGGCATTGTTTCTAAGACGAATGGCTAATCTCAATGTCCTATGTAAGCAGGGTATAAGGGGTTAAATCATTAAAAGACTATGAACTATTGTTTGCTAAAGGTAAATGGGGTTGGTGAGAGTACTTACCCTTGTGGTTTGGCTTGCGTGTGGCTGAGTGAGACCACTACCTAGTCTGAGTTTCAGTTTGATAGATAGTCGCTTTAGTGGCTCGCCACGTGCTAGAGCGATAGGAGTTAGATCCAATTTCTGCATTTTTTGTGATAGTTTTTTTTAATTAGATCAAATTTTGCATTTTCTGAGATCATTTATTATACTTGGGCTTTTATAAATCTTGGTAAGCCACTTTTCCTACGAGAAGAGCTGCCGAAATTTCTGCAAATCCAAGGAGTTAATCAAATTTTGGCTTTCCAAAGCTCTTATCAAACTTTTTATACATGGCTTAGTAAAAATATGGGAAGTCTCCTTTCCTAGAGGGAGTGCTGCCCAAATTTTTGCTAATTCAGGGAGTTAGACAAAATTTGACTTTGGAGAGTCAAAAACTATTATTGGTTTCTTGTTTAGACTTATATAAATTGTGGAAAGGCAGTTTTCCTACGGGAAGCGCTGTCGAAATTCTCTTAGTTTAGAAGAGTTAAATTATATTTTGACAGGTGGCAGTTTTGGCAACCCACTCTGTTTAGAGGAGATCCTGCCAAAGGTCTATCTCTTCTTTGGGCACTGACTTAGAAGTAGACTTAGACCTAGTTAGTTAGCAGGAGCTTGGGTGAGATCACGATATGGAGACTATTCCCCATAGGACTTATAGGGTTAGTCTTGGGCGTTGACTTGTCTTGTGTTACAGGCCAGCTTTATCCATCTGATTCAGGACTTGGACTAGATTCAGCTTG